CCTGGGTGGGTTTATTAATCCTTGCCTGCCCACATGAACAGGTACGGGCACCTGGGCAAAACCAAAATGGCCTGGGCGGGTTTATTAATCCTTGCCTGCCCACATGAACAGGTACAGGCTGGGGGCACCTGGGCAAAACCAAAACGTCCTGGGTGGGTTTATTAATCCTTGCCTGCCCACATGAACAGGTATGGGATGGGGGCACCTGGGCAAAACCAAAATGGCCTGGGTGGGTTTATTAATCCTTGCCTGCCCACATGAACAGGTACGGGCACCTGGGCAAAACCAAAATGCCCTGGGCAGGCTCTTTAATCCTTCCCTGCCCGCATGAACAGGTATGGGATGGGGACACCACCAAAACACCCTGGGCAGGCTCATTAATCCTTGTCCTGCCCACATGAACAGGTATGGGCACCTGGGCAAAACCAAAACACCCTGGGCAGGCTCATTAATCCTTTCCCTGCCCACATGAACAGGTATGGGATGGGGGCACCTGTGCCCACCTGGCACCAGCAATCCCCACAGGTAGGTTCATTATCCTTTCCCTGCCCACATGAACAAGGATGTGCTGGGGTGCCCTGTGCCCACCTGGGCACCAGCACAAAGCTCCTGGGCAGCCTTATTAAACCTTCCCCTGCCCATATGAACAGGTACAGGCTGGGGTGACCTGGGCACCACCAAACTTCACAGGTAGCCTTTTTAATCCTTCCCCTGCCCACATGAACAGGTGTGTGCTGGGGGCACCTGGGCACCACCAAAACATCCTGGGCAGCGTTTTTAATCCTTGTCCTGCCCACATGAACAGGTATGTGCTGGGATGACCCATCTGGGCACCACCAACCCCACTGGCAGCCTTTTAAATACTTCCCTGCCCTCACAAACAGGTACAGGCTGGGGGTACCTGTGCCCACCTGGCACCAGCAAACCCCACAGGTAGGTTCATTATCCTTTCCCTGCCCACATGAACAGGTATGGACTGGGGGTACCTGTGCCCACCTGGGCACCAGCAAACCCCACAGGTAGGTTCATTATCCTTTCCCTGCCCACATGAACAAGGATGTGCTGGGGTCACCTGTGCCCATCTGGGCACCAGCAAACCCCACAGGCAGCCTCATTAATCCTTCCCCTGCCCCGCTACGTGCTGGGATGACCCTGTGCCCACCTGGCACCAGCAAACCCCACAGGCAGCCTTTTACATCATTCCCCTGCCCACATGAACAGGTATGTGCTGGGATGACCCTGTGCCCACCTGGGCACCCAATTAAATAATCTCCAGTGGATCCTGGGCCTCATTAATCCCTGTACTGTCAAACCAGTCCCATCAGTCAAAAGGGAGATCTTTATTTTTATTCCACTTTGTGTGTTCCACCTTGTTTGGGCTCTTTTTTAGATCACCTAAAAGGTGATTTTACCAAAAAGATGAAAACAAAGACATGCCTGCACATTACTGAGCCTTGGAGCTCAAGCCTGCAAAATCTGAGGGTGGGTGCTGAGCTTTACCACAAAAGCCCTGATTTGAGGTGCATTGGGGTTGTCCCATCCTCAATACAAAATAAATACAAAACGCTGATGGGATCTTGAATAGTGTTACTGCTCATAGCAGGGTTGAGGATGGGCAGTTCTGCTCTGACTCCAGGGCTTGTTTCAGACCTTGCATTCCCAAGGAGTTTTCCTGGAACCACCGGCTCATTAACTCCTCTGTTCCCTGAGGATGTCCAGGGACTGCCAGTTATCCAAAGGAATCATTTTCCATCATTCAAATGGGGACAAATCAGCTGAATGTCCCTCCAGGAAGCAGAATAATAAACTGCAGGTGTAAGAGATGAATAAAGAATGAAACCCTTGTTCCTAGGGAGGGACACAGGGATTGTTCAGCAGAGTGGCACCAGGTGTTGTGACGATGAATTGCATTGACTTTTTATACTTCAGGCTGAGTCAGGGAGGTTTTGGTTGGATATTAGGAAAAGGTTCTTCTTGTAGGAAAAGATTCTTCTTTCTATTAGAAATGGATCCTTGATCATCCTGACTCAGGGTGTTCCATATTCTGTGAATAATCCTGGTTTTATTTATGATTGGAGGGGTGAGTGCAGAGCCATGCCCTGCAGCACCAGGCTCCTCCAAGCTCTGGCATTAAATCAAGCTCACACTGGGTAATGAACTCCTGTTCCAAACTCTGTGCTGCTGCTGCTGATCTCCTCTTCCCTTTTTTCCTGCCCCTCTGTGCTTGGGCAGGAGCAGCTCTGAGCCATGAGTGTGTTAATGACTGACCATCTGTACAGTGATCAAAATTATTAATAACGATGAGAATTCATTTCCCTTTGATCCTGAAACCTCTCCGGCCCTCAGTGGTTTGATCAGCAGCCTCTTTTGAGCTTTTCCTGAGGAATATAAATACACTCTCCACATGCTTTTTCTCTCTGAATGTTATTTTCAGGCCAACCTCAAGGTAATTTTGGATTTGCTGTGTGGCCACAGAAATACACTTCAGCTCTGCATTGTGTTCAGTTCCCCACAGCATTTTTGTTTTAATAGGTTATAAGATTATTTTAATAGATTATTATATTATTTTACTGGATTATTATATTATTTTACTGGATTATTATATTATTTTACTAGATTATTATATTTTAATAGATTATTTTTCTAGGCTATGATATTATTTTAATAGATTATTATACTATTTTAATAGATTGATATTTATGTGATATGCATTTTAAATTCTTATTTTAAAAAATCGCACCAGACATCCTGAAGGAGCTCTCAGCTCTGAGGAACCTCTGGTTTTTAGGGTGTGACCTGAAGATCCAGGACAGGGAGGACATGGGGGAGGCTGAACCAGCTGCTGTGCCAGGGGGAAATATGGGATGGAAAAGTCTTTTAAGGTCATTGTGCCCAGCCTTTGACTGAATATATTATAAAAACAGGTTAAAACTGAATTTTGGCAACACTGTTGGGCTGCTTTGGTAGTGGCAGTGCCCTGGGGTGTGGCTGATGCTTCCCACATGATAACACAACTTCTGGGTGCTGTTGTTGGGTTGTGCCGAACAACTGCAACGCTGAATTTTCCATCAGCTCCAGCCCTTTCTTCTGTGTTCCATTATTCCATATAATGTGGTAATTTTGGCAGAGCCAGCTGTGTCTGTGCCACTCCAGGAGTGAATTCCTGAGATCCCTGGCTCACAGCTGTGTTTGCCTTGCAGCATGGAACGCTACGATCCGAGCAAGAACTCCTGGGAGACCGTGGCCTCCATGGCTGACAAACGGATAAACTTTGGGGTGGGGGTCATGCTGGGCTTCATCTTCGTGGTGGGGGGACACAATGGGGTGTCCCACCTGTCCAGCATCGAGAGGTACGACCCCCACCAGAACCAGTGGACGGTGTGCCGGCCCATGAAGGAGCCCAGGACAGGTGGGACATGGCAGGGCTGAACCTCTGAGCTGGTAACACCTGCAGGGACAGTGCCAGGGCCTCCATCGCTGGGTGAGGGTCACTCCAGCACTCTGTGAGCGGATCTGGATTTTCTCCAAGTTCAGTTTATTAACGCTGAGCTGTGACAAAAATTATGGGAAGTAGTAATTCTACTCTACCTCCTGTTTTTTTCAGGGATTTCAGCAGTGATGAGTTGCAGCAGTTCTGTGCTCACTGTTCTGTTGGGTGTGGAGATTCAGAGGCGCAGGGTTGTGGTGCAGCTCCCATCTCTGCTCTGGGACAGGGACAGGGCTCAGGGAGAGCTGGGGCTGTGCCAGGGGGGGTCAGGCTGGATTTTAGGAAAGGTTCTTCCCCAGGGAATGGGCACAGCCCCAAAGCTGCCAGAGCTCCAAGAGGGTTTGGGCAGTGCTGCCAGGGATGCCCAGGGTGGGGTTGTTGGGGGTCTGGGCAGGGATGGGGCTGGGATGAGCCCTGTGGGTCCCTCCAGCTCAGGACATTCCGGGGTTCTGTCCCACGGTCCCTGATGGGGCAGTGGCACAGAGGGAGGTTTCATTGTAGGAAAGGGGATGAGAACAGCACAAAAGGAGTGTCAGAGCCAAACAGGGAGGGCTCCTCATTCACAGCCCTTTTCTTTAGCCAGAGGGGGCTCTGTGGGTGGCTCCTGGTGGGGACAGAGCCTGGGTGCCGCAGGGTTTGGTGCCCAGGGTTTGATCCTGCAGGGCTGGGTGCCGCAGGGTTGGGTGCCCCAGGGTTTGATGGCCAGGGTTTGGTGCCACAGGATTTGATGCCCTGGGTTGGGTGCCCCAGGGTTTGTTGCCGCAGGGTTTGATGCCCAGGGTTTGATCCCGCAGGGCTGGGTGCCACAGGGTTTGATGCTTTCCTCTCTCCGCAGGCGTGGGCGCGGCGGTGATCGATAACCAGCTGTACGTGGTGGGGGGACACTCGGGCTCCTCCTACCTGAACACGGTGCAGAGGTACGAGCCCATCTCGGACTCGTGGCTGGACTCGGCGGGG